AACGAGAAGCACTTGCGCAACAATGCGTTTTGTACAGGCTTTTAAAACAGCGCATCCTAGAACAAGACAAACAATGCATGTTATAAATGTGATGAAAATAGAAACAAAAAGTTCTTTGTATCGTCCTAAACCAAACCATGAGGCTAGCCATCCCAGTCCGAAAAAGGTGCGCGATTCCCTGACATCCGTTACAATTTGCTCAATATTCTCAATTACATCACTTACATTTTGTTCAATTGACTTAATTTCCATACAACATTTATCTTTAAACATAGAACCATATTGTGACTCATCTAACCAACTACAAAAACCATTTTCTTTTGCTAACAAGTAATCAAGAGCTAATCTATTTTGCATAACATATACACGTATTTCTTCAATTTTATCTGATAGTAGTTTTAGTCCCTTGCTTGTTTGGTTGCCGAGGCGTTCAATAGCCAGGGCATTCAATTCAAGTTGTTCTCGCATTATCAGATTTCCAACAGGATTCCAGGTGGATATTGCTATAGCTGCTTTTCCAAACCAGGTGCCTACCGACTGCCAGAGTGAGGACAAATCGCGGGTTTTCCGCCCCACAAAACGAGGCAGTGAGGAGTCCTGTACATAAATGCCTCCTCCTTGAACGGCTACATGGCCAAAAGTGCAGCGTCCTTTTGCATTAATAGGCAACCGAGAATGGGCTTGATTTCCACAAAGCCAGAAGTGTCCCGGGTACAACGATTGGAGGCGAGGATGGTTACTGCACCAGGGAGCTAGTTCATCGTTTACATCTACGATGGTTATATAAGCACCAGGCAATGAATAGAATGGAGTAATGCGCAGACCACCATCATCGTGGCGATTACTTTCCGCCTGACACATAAAATTCCTGTTTGCAAACAAAAAGGGATACGGAATAGGGGTAGGAGTAACCTGTGGATTAGTTTCTCGATACTTATCATAGTACAAAATACTGGTTAGGTTCCAGCCAAAAACATTGTTTGTGCTATTGTACCAATCTTTGGTAACATTGTGATTGGTTGAGTTAAAGACTCCTGAGATATTCATATAAAAGGCACAATTAGGCTGAAAACCAACGTAAATGGGGGAGCCAATATAAAAGTGTTCTGAGTTTTCTTGCATACTATACGGTATGCCTGGTAAATCTACACAAAAGTGAGTAGACAGTGGTGGATTAGCAGCATAGGGCAATGTTAACAAAAGGGAATCTAAAGTGGCAGCTCGTTTGGAAAAAGGATAATGGGTGAGGCTGGCGCTCCATGTTGGATGTGGAGTGAAAAAATTAAGATAAATGGGTGCAACAAAAAATGGGGGTTCACCAACGTGACGAACTGGAAGAGAGCAGACTAAACAGTCTGTTACGTTTCTTTGGACTGCGTACGCCTTCATCCATGCCTCGATGGTTGACTGATTATCCTGCAAAACAAAAACACACGCGCCTCGGTCGCTTGTTAGGATCGCTTGCTTAACCAATTGTGATGAACTAAGGTTTGCTGTTGCTTTTCTTTTTCTTTTATCCAGTAGGTGTTAGGGTATTTGCCGGGTCCTACGACCACAGCAGGTTCGGGCTTTCGGGCGGTAGAGGCATCTGGCTGGGTGACCCAAATTAGGTCATCCTTTTGATATTTGGGCAGCCACGGAGGTGATACACGAGGGACGAGATCGGGCCACCTTGAACAAACTGCATTAATGTTTATAAGCGATTCTGAAAGTAACAAATGCCACCCTTTGTAATCTGGGTGTTTACTGCTGGCACGTATTGTATTCTTAAGGGTGCCAATCTTGCGCTCCACCACACCATTACTCTCGGGGTGATATGGGAGATGTGTGTGGTGAGTAATGTTATGCTGGCAGAACAAATTTTCCAATTTTTTGGAATTAAATGGTGGGCCTCCGTCACTTGAGTGCCACGCGCCCGGCGCTCCCCCCGCCAAGCGCGCTCCCCCCACAAGCGCCCGTGCGCCATGTGCCCGGGGCCAGGCCAGCCCCGAGCACCTGGCGGGCGCATTGAAATGCCCCCGCGGGCGCCATGGCACCCGCGGGCACTGTGTTGGGGACCACGGGTCTAGACTGTTGAAAAAGCGGCTTGCTTTGTCAACAGAACTGGCTGAAGTCTAGTCACTCTTTTTCGACAGAGGCTTTATTGACAGTATCTGTCAACAAAAAGCCTCTGTCAACAAAAGCCTGTAGTCTAGACGTACCCTAGAATTCTAAATGGCATATCTGAGACTTACTTTGATGGTGCCTCCAGTGTCTTGTTGGATTGCAACATCAGTTGAGATTCTGCTGGTAGCTGTACACATAAACCTGTCATTTACTTCAATGAGAATTCATGGGGAGGGTAGAATGGCAGGTTCTGGGCCTGTGTTTGGGTTCTGCTAGTGGCCCATTTGCCTGAGTAACCCTTACATACCATGACAAAGGTCTCAATGGAAGTGAACCAAGAGGAAGGCTATAGAAATTAATTGGTACCCTTGTCACAATAGATTTTCACCCACAAGAATGGAAGATATTTAAGCTGGAGTCTAAATTTAATCAAGACATATGCTTAAGTAGCTCCTGACTCTGAGCCAGATACCAACAATTTATTCATTATTTTACTCAGATGTAAGGTAGTCAGCACCAGTTGCATGTTCAGGAATTGCTACTAAATAATTATTTACAGTCACATTTGTTTTGCTAATTCACTGTTGCCTACATGGTCCTCTCTCTGAAACACCTGTTGCAATAAAGTGACTAATTTCATTATAGTAACACTGAAATTATAGTTTAATTACACTTTGGTGATGCAATAACTAATTAACCCTTTGGTTTAATAATTTGTATAAGATTTAGAATTCACACACATTAGCTATATTGTATTTACACTTTCACCATTTTCACTCACATACTTTTACCTTCTAATTAGTTGTTTTGGTGGAAATTACAGACTTTAAATAAAAGCATGAGTAACAAAATTACAATCACTATATCACAAAGTCAAATCTATAGTTGTGTGACATTTCTGAATTTTTTGTTCTATATTATTAATTTCATCACAGTACTGTACATTTATTTTCTGGATTTTTTTCAAATCGTCAAAAGTTTTGCCAGGTCTGTTTCGCTCCC